GCCTTGGCCCCGCCCCCCGCGGCGGTGGCCAATGGGGGGCGCTGCTGGGCCAGGGCCGCCAGCTGGCCCAGGCTGACCACTTCTCCCGCTGCAATCCCAAAAAAAAACCGGGAGAAGCCCGGGGTCAGGGAGCCGGGGCATGCAAATGAGATGGTAATTAGGGAGGTAAAGAGGGGGTGCGGGGGGAATTTCGGGGAAAAGAAAGGGGAATCGGAGAGCCTGGAATTATCTTTGGGAAACGGGGGAGGGGTTCCCGCCAAAATTTGGGGGCGATTATGCAAATCAGGCGCCAATTACGGGCACGAAAACAAATTGAAGAGAAAACTTTAGAGGCCCCGAGAAGTTTGGAGACCACGCGTGCAAATGATATGCAAATCGCACGCAAATGATATGCAAATCGCACGCAAATGATATACAAATCGCATGTAAATGATACGCAAATCACATGTAAATGATATGCAAATCGCATGTAAACGATACGCAGATGAGGCTGGAAGGAAAACCTCGGGAATGCTCCGAGCGGGATTTGGAAGAACTCCGAGAACGCTCTGGGCAGTTTTAAGGGAAGTTTTTCAGGGATGAGGAATTCTCAGCAATCTCTCAATGGAGTCGTCAGAAATGAGATGCAAATGAGGGGGCGTGGCTTACAGGGCAGCCGGGCCTGCATGTCCGGGGCCAGCAGGAGCCGCTGGGGCAGCGCGAAGGTGGCCACGGCTGGGGGCGGGGCCGGAGCCGCCCCTTTGCCCATATTTGGTGTGGGTGTGGCCACGGGGGCGGGGCCTCCCGCAGGGGTGGGTGTGGCCAATGACGCCGCCGGCAAGGCTGGGGAAGATAAACAGATTAGGCCACGCCCCCTTGTTTAAATAAAGCTCCACCCACTTCAAACTCCCCCCCCATTAAACCTGATCTGCATTAACTCTTAACTCTAATTAAAACCTTCTTAATTAACCCCACGCCTTTTCATGAAGCCCCTCCCCTTACTAATTAAGCCCCACGTCTTCTCCAGTAGGCCACACCCCTCAAGGCCCACCCGTTAAGTTTCATTATTCAATCTCTTAATTAAGCTTCACCTAGATTAGCCAACGCTCTAATTATGCTCCAGCCCTAATTAATCCCTGGTCCCGCTAAGCTCCGCCTCCTCATTAAGCCCCACGCCTTCTCATTAAAACTCCCTCATTAACTCTCAGCCCTTTAACTCCTCTAATTAAGCTCCCTCCACCTCATTAAGTTTCACCGCTAATTACACCCCCACCCGTTAAGCCCCTCCCCACCTTCCCATCATTAAACCCCACCCCAATTAAGCCCCACCTCCTCATTAAGCTCCACCCCTTTCAAGTCCCACCCCTAATTAAGCACCTCCCTGTTAATCCTCACCCTAATTAAACCCCACTCCTAATTAACCCCCACCGTTATTAAGCCCCACCCCCTCACCATGTGCGGGGCCTCCAGGGGGTGGAGCCAGCAGCGTGGGCGTGGCCCTGGGTGGGGCCAGTGCCAATCCCAGCCCCAGGTTCAGCCCCGCCCCCTGAGTCGTCACCAATGGGGTGGGGCAAGTGCTGGGGGGCGGGGCCTGGGCGTGGCCCAGCGTGACAAGAGGCGGAGCCACCAGCAGGGGGGCGGGGTTTTGCGTGGAGGGGGCGGGGTTTGGGGCAGAAGGGGCGGGGGCTGGTGAGGCCACG